AGGGAAGAGGACGTCTAAGGACCTTGACGACTAGGGGGAGGAATGAAATGTCATTTTCTTTTTTCATTTTAATACAATGCCTTTTAGTATATATCAAATTTTTTACGTCATTTTTCTTTGCTTTTTGGGCATTTTAGAAACATTTTAAGAGTATTTTACAGATCATTTTTGGCGATGTTTTAAATCAAAATCCAAAGTTTGATTACTTGCGATTGCGGGCGCGTCAACTGCTGAGGGCATTAGTCCAGTAAGAGATGTGAATGTTTTAGCTCAAGAGTTTGCGATTGTCTTTCCCCACTGGAGGGCGAGATCCGGCGCCGACCTACTGCCGGCTACCGGTGTTCTTCCCAACTAGGTATCTCCCACCAGCGGAGCACCGCCCCAACCGGGACAAGCTCTAAACTCCCAACCGGTCTCCCTGCATGTGTGGTAGTGTAGTGTCTGTTAATGAAAGTGTAAGGGGTGAGGATAGGACAAGGAAGAGGAAGGAACGATCGCGCGCAGTCCACGGGCAGTTTATTAGGGTAATGCTGCAGCATTCGCCCTCTTGCTGATCGGAGAAATCCCGGAAAATTACCGATCAGAGCAGCCGGCCGCTAGAATTCTCCTCCAAACAGCGACTGAATTCGACGTAACTATCTAGATAGAGTCAAAAATCTTGCCACCACCGTGGGGAGTGGAGCTCTAGAACCTCGTGGTCAGAGAGACAGCTGTGATATCAGTTGATGCCCTGAGCCACCTCCCCGGGTACCCGCCCCCTACTGATTACCAACCCCGCCCCCACGTGCGGCCTCAAGGGCAGACGGTAGGTTTTGTTGACAGCGCACCTGCCCGCGGCGGCGGCGGCGGCTCCTGAATCAGAGCCCCAAGTTTAGCGTCGGCGCCGCGACGGGCGCGGGGGTGGCGGCGGCGGAGCGAGCGAGCGCGGGAGCGGAGGCGGGGGCGTTTGACTCAGTGCGCGCGCGTGGCGCATCGCCAGTCCGTCACTCGGTGGCAGCTCCGACACTCGGCGGGCACCACAAGTACCCCCCCCCC